AAAAGTGGAAACAGGGTGAGAGTGTAAAGGTGGTCTGTGATGTCCAGGCACATGGTGACTCGCCCTGTAAATGGCCCAGCACTAACACACAAACTACAGGGCCACGGCGTGTGCAAGTTGCCAACCAGCCTCGCATGAGCTGTGCCGGACCTTGCATTTTTGTCGTGTAGGCTGCCCCATTTTGGCTCAAAAGGAAAATGCGCCCCATGCTGAATCCAATGGCAGCTGGCACAGGGGCTACAAAGAAGGCAGGCTTCGTGTCCAATCAAAATGGAAAATCATTCGATCTTAGAAGAGAGGAAATTGGCAAACTGAAAATAAAAAATGCATGTTTGACCCCATTTTTGGTGTAGAATACATTTTGGAATAGTAGATTGACGAAAAATGTGTGATTAAAAATGAAAGAAAAGTTTTTGAGTTACGTGTTTTATTTTATTGAAAAATGTGGAATTGAAAAGAAAGAAAAAAAATGTATTTTGAAAAAAAATGGAAATCAAACAAGAGCTTGAAGTTGTTTGTGGGTTTTGGAAGGGAAGCAGGGTTAAACTACCTGTTGGGGTTCCTTTCAATGAGCACCAACCCCGCACCAACAAGATCTCCTGCGGGAAAAAATATAGAAACAGAAGGAGAAGAGCTAACAACAAACAAAGATGAATAAAAGAACAATATATAGTATTTCTGGGCTATTCATTCATTTCTATTTGGACCATTCTACTATGGCAGGTTGATTATCTAATCAAATTTAACTTTTCTAGACATAAGGTAATGCCACCGGTCTACCTCAACAAGATTAACAGAATACCTTCTACACATAAATAATGAGCTACTAGTAGGAATGCAACTAGTGTTAATTGGTATGAAACTTGAGCAGACTACAACTGTGAGCTCTACAAACTCTGGAATTCTTTACCGCAAAGAACATTGTGAATAGCCCAAAACTGATATGTTTGTTGAGCAATGAGCTTCTGACCCATTAATGTATGCAGAACGCTAAATCTTGATCATCCAAAACAAGTTTCCCGATGATTACAAAAGCCACTGCAGTAATGCAGCCAATAAAAGGCTGCAAAGAACTTGACGTAGATGTTGAGGTGTCAAAAACGGGAGGAGGGCTATCTCCAAAACCCGTTGGGAATCCTCCTAAAGCCGGAGGACTGCTGGAGTTAAAGACTGTGGGAGGAGTACTTGTGCTGCACGGACGTGAAGATTTGAATTAGATTTCATGGATTACTATTCAACACCAGGAAATCATATAATACACAGATCTGAGGCCATTAGAATGTCTTTACCTAGGTGGTGTTCCAGATGGAGATGGTGGTGGTGTTCGAGTTCCTGAGACAGGAGACGGTGGTGTTGGCGGTGGAGTTGCTGAGACTGGAGATGGTGTCTTTGGCGGTGGAGTTGCTGAGACTGGAGATGTTGTCGTTGGCGGTGGAGTTGCTGAGACTGGAGATGGTGTGGTTGGCGGTGGAGTTGCTGAGACTGGAGATGGTGGTGTTGGTGGGGACGAAGAGGAGGAAGATGTTGGGAAAATGCAAGAACCCACGCCTATATGTAAATAAAAATGGGTATTAGCACTTGAAGTTCTAAGTCACCATTTCATCTTAGAGCAAAAGATGAACATTTTCTATGCTTACTTGGATTCACATTGGTTGTCGCAGCAGTCCCACCAAAGTCACAGCTGGTTTGCACAGGATTCTTTTGATAATAGTTGTTGAAGGCATACGATGCATGGTTTTGCAAAGTATTAGGATTATAACAGCTTGCGCCCTGTTGAATGGCCGAACAATCTGCTTTTCCAATCCCACAAGCATAATCAAGTGCTGCTTGAAGTGCACTCTGTTGTGCGCCAGTCTTTGCCACACACCAACTCTTCCCCGTAGTTGCAGGAGGATTTGTCGCTGCAGGAGGCGTCACCGGGTTTGGCACAGGAACACCTCCTGTTGGGCTAGGATAAGTTGTTACGGGGTTACTCACTGGTTGGCCCCCCGGGTTTGTGCTCGGGGTTGTAACTGGATTAGTTGATGGTGCTGGTGGTGGATTTGTATTAGGTACAGGCACTGGGGTGGTGGTGGGGACTGTAGATGGAGATGGATTAACGGTGACAGGGTTTGTAGAGGGAACGGTGATAATTTCTAGTGCTGACTTATAAGGAGGGACAGTAACTGGGTTTGATGGATAAACTACATCATGTTGAATTGCTTCATAGTAAAATATCTGTTCTCCTGTTAGCTTTTTATACTGAATATCCTCGAACCGAGATGCCTCTGCAAAACACGGAGAATGCAATTATTTTTCGTGTCATTTAGACTTATATACGCAGAGGAGGGCTCCTTCTCGTCCAAAATCACTCAAAAGTAGCATCTTTGATCACTGATCTACAAATTAGTATCCCATTTAACCATTTACTGTGGCTCCGATCCAAGAAACCAAAAGCACATATTCTTCATTTGATTTTAGTACAAAAGCATATAGAAAAATAAAAATTATCTTCAAACCCCATAATCACCAGTAAATTAAGCAAGATCCACTAATAATGTAAAAGATTAGAACTCACAGCAATATACAAATGAAGAACTTCAAAAATAAAAGAAAATGAACTGAAGACACCAGAATAAATGACTTACCAGAAGAGGGTACAAGGAGAATAGACAGGTAGAATAAAAAGAGAAGCTTTGAAGCTGCTATAGCCATTTTTAACCAGAGCTGTTTTGGGTTCAGGACGTTAACCAAATGGAGTGTTAATATGAGGGTTTTGACAAAACATGACAAAGTTTTGAAAACATGTTCAGTGTGTGTGTGAGAGAGAGGGAGGGAGAGTGCGTGGTAGTAAAAAAGAAAAAGGAAAAGAGAAAGGATCAGTGTGATGATGACAGAGAAAAAAAAAGAAAGAAAAGTGATTACTTTGTTACAAAGAACCAAGTTTGAAAATGTTTTATGCCTAACAGTGGAAACATAAAGTAATATGCCACCGACAAAGGCATATCATGGTAATGGCGGTGTCCATGTTTGGATGACCTTAAAACTTTCTAATTCAAACTTATCTAAACAACGTTTCATTTTTCTTATTGAGAAAATTAATTATTTCGATAATTAAATGGGTGTCGTGTTACTTTTAGTCCCAACATTTAGGACTTGTTTGGTAAGACTTTTGGAAATTTTAAATTTACTTTTGAGATTAAAAAGTTGCTTTTGAACTTATTTGAATACTTTAAAGAAGTTTTAGAGGAAATTGGCCTAAATTTGCATTCTCAAGAAGCTCTTTTTATCAAATGCAAAAAATTGCCAAACGGACCTTGGTGTCCCTCACTTTGTGTCTGCAACCTTTAAATTTACAATCTTAAGACCTCAATATTTAAAGTGTTTTATCATTTTCTCTCAAACTTTTTGCTATTGTATCGAGTAGAAAGTACATTGTTCTGAAGGGCAAATTTCTCGTCAATATTAAATTTTCACTTTTAGTTCCCCAACATTTAAAATTACAATTTATGCCAGTCGTTTACTCCCGTTGGCATAAATTGTCCTTACTCCTTACCACTTCCCATCACATTTGGCATTAACAAGTCAAGTGAAACTTACACGGTAAATTTTCTAAGACACATATCGAGTGTGATAGAAAGACGTAAGAAATAAAAAGGAATAATTATTACATTGAAGTTAAACAAAAGTGCAGGGATGCTAAAGATTTGAGGACTAAATATGAAAATTTCCCATATATTTATTTATTTTAAAATTATATTATCTACTTAAAAGTAAAATAATTTAAGCTAAACACGCGGACATATGACCTGCTCCAAATTCCTCCTCAAATATGGCATTATCTATCCTACAAAACTAGATAGGTTTCGATAAGTCGCTACCTCTGTTAGAGGTTCACATGAGGATACTCTTCTTTACTGTTTGCCTTTATTTGATATTATTATTGTTATGGCTTTATTCGAGGCTAATCTAGTGGGACCCCCACACATGTGAATCTAATTTACGTGGAATAAAAACAGCCAAAAGCAAAATAGATGATTTTAAAATTTCAACGGATGTTGATGCTGTACAGTTTAACGTTCAAAATTTCTATTTATGGGCCATAAAGAGAATCCTATCGTGCCCATTACTGGGGTGAAAAGAGACCCCCCAAAAAGGCACTACTGGCACTTGCTTTGTAGCACTGGAACCACTTCAGATGGAATTAAAAGTTTTTTGCTCGAAGCCCTCACGGGCATGACGCAGTGGTAAAGTAGGAGTTCTCTACGAAGTATCAGAGGTTCTAATCCCTGCAACAACTGGAAAGCAGCATTTATGTCGGAAGACAGAGATCCACAGAGAGGAAAATCGTTGAATATCCGATCCAAGTGTGTATAAGTTGTGACCGTAGTCGAATTAACTCGGGTGGCAAACCAAGAGAAAAGGTCGTCACTCCTCAGGATTAGTCGGACGAAGCTTGAACACCTGAGTTATAAAAAAAAAAAATCTCAAAATTGTTTGAGAAATATTTTACATCAATGAAAAACGTGTGGTTTAAAAACAAGAAAAAATTGTGAATCCCATAAAATGTACTATTAAAAATGTTTTTGGGAAAAAATAATTTTTGAAAAAACAAACTTTCAATCCTTACTAAACACATTCAACTAGGATAATGATTTAACCTCAACGACTATTACCTTTTCAACAAGTGAAAAAGGTTGCGAGTTTCTATAAACTTCTTTGATTTCTTACACGGGCACAAAGAACATAGAAAACATTGTTTTTCAATACATTACAACAGTTCTCGACAAGAACATAGTTTCGCTCTAAATGAAGTACGACCCATAATTGAACTAATTGAACAGAACTTCACAATGTTAACCAAACTTCTACATTCAGTTTTCACCAAAAGGTACTATCATAAACAAAGGTGCAACACAAAAACCAAGTTAGTTTCTGGAAGCAAATCAAATACAAAGAAGTAGCCTCTTAATAAGTGACTAACCCCCTTCTATGACATGTTTCACATGCTTCTTCATAATTCAAGAAACAAACAAGTCAATGAAGAAAGGATCCAAGGTTGCTTCTTTAGCCGAACCATAGCTGTTTAGGCGCTTCTTCAGAGAACGTAATTCCCTATCATCTTTGTGTGTTTTATCCTGAGACATTAAATATCAATATTTGAAGCGGCGTAAAATTTCAAAAAACAAATAAACATATGTAATACAAAACAGTTCAATGATTGATATTAGTTTTGAATGAGTGATACTACACGTACAGCGCAAGTTTGACAAAAATTTTACAGATTGGACACTTCGTCAATTTTTGATTGATTTGCATCAAAACATACAAAAATGCACCATACAGGTGCTGCCAAATAGCACCTGTACTGTCCTGTGGGAATTATTCAAGAGGAATTAAAAACTTACATAGGATTTCTTCCTTAGCAAAATATCTACCAGGTACTGCAGCCACATCACGTTTGTCTTGGGGAAACTGTAAATCATTAGCAGTAACAGAATAAATGTAGATAAAAGATGCCTATACAATAATGAATGGTCTACCTAATTGAGAAATACTATCCTGTTCTACTGAAAACTTTATTGAAAGGGAAGTTACCAAACTAAGAAAAATGGAAAGTTTCTTAATTTGAAAAATGAGTTATATTTACTTACCCTTAGTACAAATATTAGCATGCTACGAGGAATGAATACCCACACATAAAATGACAGGTCAGTGGATTTAGAAAGATTTTCTAAACTCGGAACATATAGGTCAACTTTTTGGCAAGTGATTATCTAGATTTTGGAACTCTTGATGCCGTAATATGAAGATGTGTTACAAGACATGTATAACAACAATGCTCCCAAAAAATTTAGTTGACAGTCAGTATAATACTTTGCCAAGTCTTACGATACGAATCTTGCTACATATTTTCTTATTCTGGCTATACAAGTTTGCTTCACGTTGTCACAATCATGGCATACGACTTGGTAATTTGAGAGAACTACTTAATTCTTCGTAACTGCACTAAGTGAAAATGCATGTTATTTGGATATGGTACAAGGAAAAACTCTTATTTAGTCTTGTGCCAAGTTGTAACAAGATGGTGAAAGTAGATAGTGGTATAAGGGAAAAATCTTTTGAAGCATCCGATAAACAGTTTTGATTACCCAATTTGCTACTACATCTGTGTCCAGAAATGGAGGTGTTCGCTTCCAATCAGTCTGTCCTGATTCCCAAAAATCTTAAGCTCCACAAATTAAAATCATTTATGAACATTCAAACAAATAATTATCCACTCAAACACTTCTTTATTCCATTTTGGATTACGTTTTGGTACAATAAAAGGAACCTTTAGTGATATCTGCTAATCATGCTTTCTCAGGTTAACCATTGAATCCAAAAAAATTAGTTTCGACTTTCAATATCACCTGGCTTGTTGGTGTTGGCGTGTTAACATATATAGAGCCATTCAGCAGGATAAAAATGAAAAGAATGGTACTTGTACCTTCCTTCCCAACAATCATCAGTAACATCCCTCATCTTCCTGTACGTATCAGCCTGCAGAATTATTGTTGACTAGTTAATAAGAAAGATTAAGTCAAACAAGACATGTAAAATATCACTTTTTTCTTACTTGTATATCTCCTCTTGGGCCATTAAAGAGTTCTGGGTCTGATGACAAGTCCAGAAAGAGTATATCTTCACCTGTAAACAGTTATAGCTTCATAAATTAATTCAGCAACATTTGAAACCTATCATGTTGAAGAATACCTAGTTGTCATAGAAGTTAACCTGTGTTGATTCTTGACAGGGTAAAATCAATTATGGATATCAGCAATCCAAAAGTTCTGACATTTATTTGTCTTCCCTCGAGAGTAAATTGCAGTGTGTCTGAACCCTTTCGACTTAATAGAATATTCCCCCTATTAAAAACAAGGGATATTCCTTAGATCAAAATCTAGCAAGAGGTATTAATATGCTGCAACGGATTAGTAGTATGAAAACTAAACCAGTGCAAGTCTCGGTGTTCAAATTCATATGCAGCCTCAGCTACAGCCAATGCAATAGTGACCTGCAACATATAGTGACAAACTGAAATAAATCAGGTAAAAGACAAATGGAACGAAATCTCTATTAGTTACATAAGGATATATTACTACCTGAACCAATAAACTCCGAGCTTCATCGAAGTTTAAAAGAACAAAGCTCTCAAGATCCTGACCACCATGTTCTTGAACAAAAACAACATAACACTGAACAAAATTTTCTCAGCTTAAATTGGTGAAAAAACCAAGGAAATCGTCACAAATTAGCAAAAACTTATGAGCTTAAATTTTAACTTGAGTAGGCTGCTAAAAGTAACCTCAGTTATCTAAGAGATTAATGCAAGCCTAAAGTCGGAATTTTGCGTAACCTGATTTTCTGGAAATTCTTTAGGATGATCATTTTCTGAGCCATGCTCCCCATCCCAGTTTTCCCATGCACTTATCAAAGCAGCATCATAATGACCTTGGCACACCCTCAAACTATGAAGAAGAAATGAGAAATGGCAAGTTAATGTCAATTAAAAAATTTCATAAATCTCATAAGAGGAGAATCAATTTAGCTGGCACAACTGGTTCATGTATTGCTTTGCCACCCAAAGTCATGCTTATAGCAATAAATTGAAGTATTTACAAAAACAAATCACATGAACTTGACAAAGGTTGCCAATATTTCTGGAGCTTGAAATTCAGTTGTTACATCTTACTCGGCATTAGTAGCTTTTACTGTGGAACTGCAGTCTGAACATTACTAACCTATCAAAAAATTCATTTTTAACGACTAAACTTATTTTATTTGACTTAGAAGTTTTAACCATTATAACAGAAATAAGCTTTGGCTTTTGAGAAAGGTCTTTCATCCTTTTTGCAAACTATGAGCTATATATTTAGTGCGGACTAGTTGACAATATTAACTCGTACTATTCAATAAGTATATATACTTCTACGTAGTTCTTCCTGCAATTGTAATAATTCCGCTCTACTGAAAACTGTGTACTAACTACTAAATAACATCGTAGCACTAAATGGAACATAATCTGTAAGCCTAAATCGGGCTTATTAAAAAAGTACCCAATTTGCCTCTTCCCATCCTTCCTATACCAAAGCATAAAAACCAGGCTATCATACTGGAATTTCCAAAGTAACGGCTAAAATCATAACATTAACATTTGTTTATAAAACATTAGAGAGATGCGCAAAGCACTTACTCTATTGTTTGTATAAAGGTAGTGCAGGCATTGACCACATTACTCTCGTGACCTCTTAGGCGATTAAGAGTGCAAGAAAGGATAACTTCCTCAAGCAGTTCTTCTGATTTCTGATGCATATCAAGACACGTGGATCAAAAACTAAAACAGGCCATCCCTCAAATTAAAAAAAAGAAGGAAAACAATGATAAATTGCAATTCAGCAATTCCAAGGATCTGTACTAGACACTAAAATATGTATCTTCATTACTTGTCCAGGGTCCTAAGTCCTACTGATATCCAGATATATGCTTGATGAAACAATTGGTTGGGATCAGCATCAAATGCTGATGCCACAATAATATCAATAAAACCATGTTGCCAGAAATCTTGATAACAGATGCCAGCAAAGTGCCGACAGATTACCAGAAATCTCAATATTAGCCAAATGGTGCGGCTAAAACAATGCTCAAACCAGTTGTGAAGTCTGACAAGTGACTAAGCTTAAATTTGGCCAAGTTGTGATGAGAGTTTAAGTTATAAAGAACATGAGTGGTCCAATAGCAATTCAGCTTTCTTTCACATTTTTGACCTAACTTATTTCACTTGGCAAAAAAAAAAAATGAATATAATGTTACTAGAATATATACCTTCTGCACTTCTCCATTTACTCGTATATCTCCATCAAATGGGACAATTTTACAAACATTTCCACCAACCTTGAAAGCTTCTCCATATGTTCCTTCACCGACCTTGATGATACTTTCTCGGTCACTGTTTCAAACGACGTGCTTCCAGTCAGATTTTAGGAGGCCAGGTCTACATCACTTAATCTCTTGCAAACAAGGTTAAAATTATAATTTTATGGAATCCTTCTGATAACTAGTATTATAGTAAGCAACAAAAGAAAATGTAGGCAACAATGAAACACAGATGGCTTGAGTTTTTAACAGGTAGGATCCTGAATACTGAGTCAATTTTCAAGGATGAGAGAGAGGATGGACTGTAGTAACCACAAAAATTTATTTCGACTCCCCTTGTGAAAGATTTACTTCATCGATTAATAATGCTGACCTAGTTAGAAAACTTTGCATTCTGGAATAAGGAAATTCTCCCCCTCTTTCCAATTTCAATTTCATATTTTTTATCAAGAACTAAATGTTTGCTGGCATCCATATAGAGCTGGTACTAAAAGACTGGACGTCAGGCAGCGAAGAAGTCTGAACTTCATTAGCTTACGAAACTAGTATCACAATATGCAAGATAAAAGGTTAATAAGGTTTACTTTGAGAGTTAGAATTGTAAAGATGAGACAGAATTTTCAAGATTGTTAGGCTGTTTACCCACAAAGAGAAAATAAAAAACAAAAACCCAGCTCTATTTGTCTGAGAATTTCCGCTATTGTGGCTAGTAAAGCGGATCTAGGCCAAAAACTATAAAGTTTATATAAGAAAATCTCATTCTCTCTGCATCTCAGCTTCAAAATGAAAATCAAGAGACAAAGAACACTAGTGTTAAGTCATTAACAGAGTATAGACTTATGCAGACTCGTCATGTATCAGAGCCAGAAATAACAGAAGAAAATCGAGAGTCGAGGACTCTACTGTTAAAGAGCATTAAATACATAAAAGATGGGGTAGTTTGATGCATTATTAAAACAACAGAAGAGAAGCAGCTAAATTAGCCTTTAAGTCAACTGCAATCCATGAAGGAATCCTGGTGGAGCATCAGATCAACAAGAGATATGATAGAGCAATTCTAACTGAAGAAATGACAAATTGACCAAGATACTTTTAAGATGGAAGTGAAACAGACCAGTAACTCGATAAGATGTCTGTCAATTTTGAAGGAGCACACTGCCCACAGGCTGTCAAAAGAGCTGAGAAAGAATCCCAGCGGTAACCATCCAATGAAGAAGGCCTTGAAGTCAGAGAGAGTTTAGTAACTGCAACTTCAATATCTTCACATTCCTCCTTAATAGGCATTCTAGTGGCATCTCCAATGGTAGAGCTTGAATCAAATCTAGTCTGAATTGAATTTGATCTCGAATGGATTTGCAGAGATTCTTTTCCTGAGGTTTTCAATATTGAACTCGAAAAACCATCATGATAAACCAGATCCTTAGATACTTCAGGCGTTTCTAATATCTTAGAAAGTGAGCCAGGAAATCCATAACTTCGATTTAGCTTCTTATAAACCAGCCATTTCCTTAATACTGAAGATAAATGTGGTATGACAACATTATCAACTTGGACACCCATAGTCCATGTACCGGATTTCTTGGGTGAGGGACTCTCTTCAAGCAATTCAAAGGAATCAACCTCTTGAAAATATGCCCTTTCTTTATCAAAGTTTGGAGGTTGTAAGGCTTTTCCCTGTAATAACCACACGATTTAATGTAGATAGGGCATCAACAAAAATATGTGATATTTCTCTAAAGTATATATCATTGCTTATAAAAGAAACTCTGGCCTCTTGATTTTGTTTATTCACCAGTAAGCCATAGGATTCAAAAAGTAATTTTTTTCATGCTTTTGGATAAAGAAAAATCATCTCAATAATGCAACTCAATAGAAATATGAATACAGAAAAGAAAATTAGAAACCTAAATGCAGACATAAAAGAAAGATAACAAGAACAGCTGATCATACTCTAGGAAGAGGTGGTTTAGCTTTTCTTCGAGGGATCCTCTGTTGTGGCTGATAATCTGCACATGCAGTGGCAGCAATGCTTGTTCTCCCTCTGTCAGTTGAAGGAGTAAGTTATTAACGCGAGTGTGGTTTATCCTATCGTAATTTTACAAATTTACTATTCCACATAATTTTAAGAGCAAGATATAGTACTGAGCTAAATAATGAAACCCAATAATAGAATTAGAACACAATGACAAAAATGACCAAATAATATGCACAACCATAGAGCTAACAGAAAACATGCACATTGGCTTCATTATTCTGTTTCCTCTAGATTCCAAATAACTTGAATAACTGGAAAGTATGTCAGCCAATACAGTTCTGCACAAATTCAGATCTTGAATTCTAATTTTCTAATAGCAACAGAATCCTCATATAACGTAAACGATGTCGCTGTAATCAGTATGGGCTCGCATACAATTTAACAACTTGAATTTCAGTCCTCAGCTACTTTAGGTAGACTTCATCCCAACCAAATAAGCACGCAAACTCGCAAAGTTCACCTTCGCGGGGGCAAAACAAGACTGCCTCTGAAGATTTGCAGCCTTTATTATAGCCCTGTTTGACGACCATTATAACAAAACTCTTTTATTTTCAAACTCATTTTAACCATAACAATTAACATTTAGCACATAAACCCAAAACTTTTTCCCACTTTTAACCACACATTCTCAGAAAATTACTATTTCAAAACTCATTTTCCCAAAAAAAAAACTCTTTTTAATGATTTTCAAACAGGGGCTATATAGGATCTTACTCTAACACGTCTAGGATTCTAAGTAATTAAAAGCCGAATGCTAATTAGCACATAACAAACTGCAAAAATACGTGTAAAAGCAAAAACCAATATTAAAAAGCATGTTTGGTGTGCTTATAGTATGTTATTATTTTTTATTTGATGTGATAGATGTAAAGAACTCGTACCCCTCCCCGCCTCCCGCCCCCACCAGCTCTGAAAGATAAAGATGAGGAATTCAGCTACAAATAGAACTCAAATGTAGGAAAATATCACAATAGTTGTAATTCAAGAAAATAAGTAAAATTAGGGCACAAAACCTAGTGGAAAGGGAACGATTCCAACTGATTCGCTTAACCGGCGCTAGGCTCAGTCGATTTTCATCCCCACTATTTGAGTTTGATTGCCTCCTGGAATTAATTAACCAATCAAACAAATTAACTTATCGAATTAGAAAAATGAACAAAATAATGACAGTTACAAGTTTTAAACAGCAAAAACCCGAAAAAGAAGAAACCTTGCTGCATCTTTTTGATTGTTAATATTTGCTTTTTGGCGCCGATAAAATACCACAATTTCTGGCTCCGATTGCTGATTTTCCTCTTCCACTTCAGCCGCTACAATTTCTGACCAGAGATCAACTGCATTTCCAACTCAAATTCATCATTTAACTATTACATCATGAAATAGATTATTGCCAACATATGAATTCATGCATATGTATGTGCGTGTGGTTGAGGTACTCTGGTTTTTCATTAATTTTCTCTATCTACCTGTTCGGGAACCCATGATAAGTAATCGGAAAATTGAAGGTGTAACGTTACTGCGCTGTCTTTCAGGCGTCGGAATTTTCAAAAATCTGACAGTAGGCGGGAACTTCCTCCTCCAATTCCGGAGAACATATCCCCCGTGCGATTTTTCTAAAATTGTGAGGAGAAGGATGCGTTTTCTGAGTTTTTAGCTTGTATATGAACATTAGCGCAAATGGTCCTTAACCTTTGCATTTAGTAAGGAAATGGTCCCTAATATTTGTTTCATAGCATGAACATCCCTGACCTATGTATTTTGGTGAGCAATTGATCCTTTATAATTTATATGAAAAGGGCCATCATGCCTTCAGGCTTCAATTTTTAGTAGGAAAAAAATTAAAGTACGATTGGGTCCCTGACCTTCGCTGGAGGTGCAAATGGCACCTGAACTTTTATTCAGTGATGTTTAATTCATAGTTCTGACTATATCATTATAGTCGTGTCAAATAAATTTTCAAGAAGGCAAAAAAGTTAAGTTATCGGCACTTAAATGTATGCGATACTTTATTGTTTGAAAAACTTAAATAAAAATTAAGATAAATAACAAAATGATTTGTATTTTATATATAAAAAAAAAAAAAGGGTTTCAGGTTTTAAACATTTCATTCACTTTAAAAGTAATGAGCATCGAAAAGAAAGAAGCCTTAAAGTTAGGAAGGTAGGGTAAAGTGGCTAGCCTTTCGTATCTAAAAGCAAGCAAGATAACAAATGAGGTTTTAGGCAACTCTTAGGTTTCGATATGAGTTTCCTTGTGAGTGTGTTAACTTGTTTTCCATACAAGTTGCCCTTGTTTGAGCCCCTTTTTCACAAAAAATTGGTTTTATAATAGTAATTTTTGGAAAATGTATGATTAAAAAATAGAAAATTTTTTTTAGTTTATTTACAAAATATTTTATTATATGAATGTGTGATTAAAATGAGTACGAGAAATAAAGAGTTATGTTTTAATTGGGAGTCAAACATGGGCTAAATAAACATGATTTAAAAAGAAAAATACCTGTAAAAAATTTTCATTATTAGCCTTGAAAATTTTCATTTTCATTCTTCTACTCATTTTCAACCACATATTTTTAATAAAATAATATTTTCGTCACGTCAGTAACTTTTTCTTCTTTTTCAACTACACATTCTCCATCAATCTATTATTCCAAAATACATTCTTCCAAAATAACGTCGCTCAAACACACCCTTATAACTAAATATGGACTACAAACACTTCCATTATAAATATATAGCCCCATGAATGTTTAACGTATGTTGAATATTATATTATCTTAAGAATAATTCTACTTGTTCATAAAAAAAATGTACATAATGGTGTACACCTCTCCTCACATGGGGGTATATAAAATAATTTTTTTATTCAAGCGGGCCCCACCCCCATGTGAGGGGGGTGTACACCCCTATGTACATGGTGATGTACCACTAGCAAAACATTTATCTTAAAGATCTCATTAATGAAGATCAAACACTCATTTTTGATTTATTGATTCAACCCAAGTTTCATAGTCTCATATAAGTGATTCCAAATATTGTTTCATTATTAGTAGAGCATTGTTGTAAGTGGAGTATTGGTTCTTTGAATGCCAACACACATTCCAATATCTATTGCCTTAACCCATAGATCAAAACACATAAAGATTCTAGATCAAACATCAAAACAAAACCCTATCTTCACCAATTAACCCTCAGAGTTATGGAGTTTTGGGAAGATGCACTCGGAGTTCTAGTGCTTGAGAACAAGATTCGTTCTTGTTAATCCATATAGATAAAAAAGTAGCTCAAGATTCTGAAAAAGTGCAGACGTGCCCAACGAAATAAGTTCTTTGATGATTTACAAGTTAGGTGGTCTGAGTCACCTAAGATTTAGTAGTGACTAATTGTAAGTTAACTTTTATAGTAGATTTTATTGGCAAATTTGCCCGTAAGTTTTTGATTCAGATACGAATTTTCCTCCGTGATCATATCTAATATTCTTTACTCTGTATTTATTGCTTTTGATTTGTTTGTTTAAATTGCTTGATTGACATATAGACTTAATTGGATTAATTAAACTTAATCGACTAGAGATCAATTAATAAATGGCTTGTTGCCTTTAATTGTTTTAATTCCGCTATTGGGTCTAAATCCATATTCTAAAATGCGCGCAAATGCGCTGCCTAGACGCGACGAGCGGAGAAAACGAGACGAATTCCGGAAAATGCGTTTTTTGTTCTAAAAGGCTGCGCATTATGCCGCCTAATTTTTTTTATTTTTTATTTTTTGGTAAAAAATCTATTTTTTTTTATATAAAAATATATTTAATGCCTTAAAAATACGAAACACATTATGATTTTTTTTTTAAATCTGTTTTTTTTATATATTAAAAAATTTATTTTTTTTATATAAAAATATATTTAATGCCTTAAAAATACGAAACACATTATGACGCTTATTCTTCGCATTGAGACACTTAAACTTGCGATTCTTGATTCTCGGTCTCGACGCATCGCATTACGCATTTTAGAACATTGGTGTAGACAACTTTAATTCCCAACAATTGACATATCATGCTATCATACTATAGTGCCCCTGATTGAGCCCTATTATTCAAAAACTAATTTTTTTCAATCATATATTATACAAATAAAATAATTAATATGTAAATTTAAAATTTTTCTTTACTTTTTAATCACACATTCTTTCAAAAATTGGGACTCAAACAAGGGTTAAGTTGCAAGGGTGAAGATAGGTGGGCAAGGCAATTCAAGCCCAATTATTCTTTTGCATGTAAAAATTCACTGTCCTATATATATATTAACCCAAGTTTTAAAAAAATTATAGTCTACTCCTAACTCCGTTCATATTGAATTCTGTTGCCAATTGGCTATCAGAGAATTATAATTCTCAATTTTGCTTAACCATTAAAATAACGATTGCTGTTTAATCTAAGCACGCCAGCGAAGCTTTGCTGGATATTAGACAATCTAATTACTCTTTAGACTTGGCTTCTTGTTTTATTATTGATTGATTGTGTAACATCAAATCAGATCCATCTGTTCTTCATTCAATGGAATAATTCCAACCCAATAGATATGCTATGTGGACATAATTGCCCCGTGTGAAGGGTGTGGACAGCTCTATGTACACAGAAAATTTTCCAAATCCCAAATGGATAAAGCAATTTCCTACATAAACGGTGTACAACTTGGCGTACAGATAATCACGTGGCAAAAAAAGAGCTCGACTAATGAGTCATGCTACAAGTACAGAAAAACTTTCACAAAATTCTTATAGAATTCCACTTGATGCATTATTATTGGTTCTTGTAAAAAATACTTAAAAAAAGGTGCCACACATGCAGCACCTATGAGCTAGCTGCCTGTGAAAAAATCCCTATACACAAGGCTTAATACATGATTAATTGTGTTTGTTATGAAAGATGATGTGAGATTTTGTATAGTGGTGTAGTTGGCTACTCAATAATGCGATCTTTAAAAAAAAAAAAAACTGAGGATGGCTTAGACAGCTAAAATCATTTGATTTAAGATTTAGGCCATGAGCAACATAAATGGATATTTCAAGTCTGACAGAAATCTAATATCTTTTCCTTTCATCCTACAAAGGAAAGCAGTCAAAATATTACAATTATACATCATTTGCATATTAGCGTAAAAATGCAGAAACTAAATTCTTCTATGTATTATGCTTAAGATATTATACACATATATAAAGTCATTAGTATTTTGTACCAACCATGTACATAGACACACTTACCTAAGGAGCTCTTCATCTTGTTGATTGCCTTAAGAAACATTGTTATTGGCTAAAAATAAAAAATGTTTCCGTGTGGCATGGAGACACCATCTGTGTCTTCCACTTGTTTTTTTTAAAAATAAAATTAATATTTGAATGTGCATACCAACTGAGAGTATGTCACTCCATAATCATCTCCAGGTCCACTACTTTCAATCATCTGCGACGAAAATGAAGGAACAAATTACATTAGTTAGTACCAAAACATAGAGCAGGAAGCAGAAAAACAAAGAAAGAAAAGAGAAGTACAAGTGCTTTTAGCACCACAAGCAAAGTGGAGGTACATCTAAAATATAGTTCAGAAACATAGATATATGCATGAAGAATGTATTGTAGCAAAAATTTTAACATATGAGACAAAAAGAAGATAAAAGGACTTGAATAAAACTGAAGAAACTAACAAACAGATCCACAAAAGAAGCAAAAATGTAGCAAAATCTGAATCTTCTCAGAAAATTTAGATAGCAATTTCGGATCATTTGCCATAGCTAAAAAAAAGGACAACTCAGTTGCTTTGCTTTCCACCTCTCTCTCTAAGGTTCATAGAAGAACAAAATGCAACAAATAGCAGTTCTATCTATGGAAAATATTAAATGTCACAGTTATGTCAGGTCTTTGTACAGTGCAAAGATAAAGCTGAAAATTAGGACCACGTGCAATTTTATCAAAGAAAAAATCCAATATTATAAGGTGTATGGACACACTAATAATCAATACAGTATCAGCTTAAAAACACTATAATCAATCTAAGGATCACGTGCAGTAATCAGGAATATACTGACCTTTTGATGTCATGGACCCTCTGAAAATATTGCACTGCAACTGACTCCCAAAACCACTGTAAACTCCAATAACAAGAAGCAGATTTTTACCAGAAGAGGAACCAGTCTGCTACACTTCGCTCTTAAGGTAACCTTGACTCTTCGCCAATGTTAATTCCATTTCAGCTTCAACAATTCTCCTTTCCAAGTCCCTAAAAAGTTCACAATAGAAAACCTAAGTGCATGTTATTCAGTAAAAACTTACCCATTACATAATCATATTATCTAATAATATGTACGTAAATTGGAGCCATTGAGAAATATACTTGCATCCTACGACCATTAGTTTGTCGTCCACTGTAAGCACCTTCGGACGCTGCATTATACAGTAAAAACTTACCCATTACATAATCATATTATCTTA